TAGGAAGACAGTCATTACTTACATAGGAAGTAATCATTGACTTATTTGATTTAAATTATCGAAAAACAACTAAAAACTAACGAATATGATTTAAAAACGCGAAAATGAGGTAATGTTCACGACCACGCCTGCAAATCTGTCTGAGTGAGCGTGTCTGAGAGCCTGAGCGGATGCGAAAGGGGGCATTGTTACGTTTTTTACATCTTGCTGATTGGCCAATGTCACGAAGTAAACAAGGAAGAAGGTATGCCCGGGGAAACATCCAAACGGCGGTTTTGACGATGAAATTTTTTTATTTATAATCTACACTCGAGGAGTAAATTACATTTTTTTACGTAACAGAATTTATCGTGAGACACGTTTGGACTAAATTTTATTATATCCTAAAAATTCCATTGAACAGCTAGCTACTCGTTTAACGAGCCTACAATTTAATTATAATTAGACAAATGGAAACACGAAGAAAAGTTGATGCTGAGGGCAGGGGTTCAATAGCGCAGTCAATATTCGAATATATTGCAAAGCAATAAGGAAATGAAATTCATATTCTATTCGAGAGATTCATCACTGCTTAATTTTTGTAAGAATGTATCTTCTTAAAGAAAATCTTTAACAAAATTTCACAAATCATGCGAAAATATTCACTTCGATGTTTGGAAGTACATATTTGTGCGAACAATTATTTTTGAAAATGAACATTACAAAGAACAAGCAAAGAACTGGGATTAGTGATGCCCATTTAGAAAATGTTTCCATCTTGGCGTCGTAAAGCTATCCAGCGTGATGCAGCAACAAGACAGTGTCACATTGAATGTCATTGGGATATTTTTTTAATAAGACAACTAAGTTGAGTTCACCAATTGTTGCAGTTTTCGCGCGCTGTTCCGTTTTTGACTTTCAAAAAATATATTCGACCCGCAAAATACTAGCAACCCTGAATTTTGTCCTGCGAGCGACATAAAATTTGCCGACCCCTGGGCCGTAGCCGATAGTCGGTCACGGCTTCTTCCACATCCGAGTCCATGAATCCAAAAACAAATGGCTGGTTAATTATGGACAGGTGATCAGACTTGAAGCCGTAGTAGAATGAGGAATCGGGGATGAATTTTACCGAAGGATTTTGGTGCAGGTCATCAGGCAGTACGAATGAATGGGATGTACGAAAATCATTATTATAAGTTTGGGAAAATTAACTTTGTTTTCATTATTCCAATGTGAAATGGGGTGAATTTAAAAGGTGAAATGCTATAAGACAAGAGTACACGGCGGTTTTTGAGGAGGTAGAACCCTGGATTCTTTCATTTCTGACCTATTATATGGTGAAAAAGGGGTTTCAGTCGTGTTACTATTGCTATCAAAACAACGAAATCGCCTTTCCACCAGTAAACGGGGTAATTTTAGATATAATAAAAAACTCGCTGACGAACACCAAGCTCATCTATCTCATAAAACACTATAAACTATAATTTGTCTTCTTATTTGGTCTGTAATATATTCTTTTCTGACTTTACATTTTTTTGTATTGCCGGGGGGCGATGAAGTTGTATAAACTACTTTAGGGGGGCGATGGTCAAAAAAGTTTGGGAACCACTGGTCTAGCATTTCTAGCAATCTGCAAACATTTTAGATATTACCATTTTCTTTAAAAAAATGAGAGAATAATTAAATAAACAGATTTTATAATTTTTTATTTGTTCCACGTATTCACCCGTTTCTCTAAGATTTTTTAGACAGAAGGACCGATTCTTTATATTTCGGAAAACAGCATCGTTCTTGAGTGTTTAAAAAAGGAAAATTTTATTCCAACTTATACAAAAAGTAGGTTTGGCAAATTAATTTAGAATACCCTATAATACGTTTATTTAAGGACTCTCATGATAAGAGGTACAAACTTCATCACAGAAGAATACGCACATTCCCAAAATACAAAATGGCCGACGTGGTAAAATCCTCGCTGCCCCATTGACCCGGCCCGTGAACGGTCGTACTAAATACGAACAGTTTTTTTTGCATGACACGATGTCATGAAAAAAACCAATGTAACTCATAATTTCAAGTATGATACATATATATATATATATTAGGACTGGCCATTTCAGCTAACTGATCCACACTACAGTATCACATGACGTACAGAATATAACTATTAGTTACTGTGCTGACATATACCCTCGCAATATTTAAAACTTTAATTCAACATTCAACTTTTACAATTAAATCTCTGCCATACATACATACATATTTTATTTCCGAAATTTGGTTTGTAATTTCTGGTAAATTATTAAACCTCCCAACATGTAGTTCACATTCGCTAACAAAGCTCAAATTACTATGGCGCAGATAACTGAGTATTTTAACCGAATTCAAGAATTTAGCTGGTGCTGGTCAATACAAGATTGTAAGTAATTACAAGAAAACTTACTTAATAATTCAAATAATAATTTTTTTTAGATAACGGTTTCTGCGTTGATGCTTTATCTCTATGATGTCATCTACGATCCTACGCTGCGAAAATGAACAATATCACGTTATCCTTTCCTTGCGTAACTCGGAAGAAGAATTTTCGTGATTTAAAAAAAAAAAGATTTTGTAATTGTGAAATTAATTTATTTCTTTATGAAACTACACTGGATGTAATTCTATTTCCCCGCCAAAAATATCGAGAAGGTTTAAAATGATAAAATTCCAGTAGTGTTGTTCGATGCTGTCGTCTTCGTTCGGGGGAAACACCATGATTACGAATTCGTTCTTACATACTCGTATTGCTCAACAAGTATTTCGCAGGAAAGGAGATTAGGAATCTAGAAAACATTCGCTCGAATTTGACTATACAACAGAGGTAATACCCATCTGATAACTTTCAATCTATAAAACATATTTTAGTAGTAAAATTTGAAATGTCAAATACCTTAATTCAATATTCTTATTAAAGCGTCTCAATTGGACTGCGAATCAGAACCATTTCGCATACAAACAAGTAATTTTGAAATCGGTAAAATGACATCGATGTTCATTGTCGACATTAAATTAAAAGATAGTTAAATATTTTGGATGTCCAAAATTTTACAATAAAATTAGTCAACTGTTGCCGATACTGCGAAATAAAGGGCGGAGATCCAAGTTTTTTACACGATGCAAACGTAATAAATTCGAAAACTATAAATATCAAGCAACGAGTCAAACTTACATAAATATAAAATCAATCAAAACTATTAAAAAAATTAAGTTAATTTCCCATTTATGGTTGAAAATAGATACACACGAGACACCACAGAAATATTGGGTGTTCCTGAAGTATGTGTACCAGGTTAGGGTTAGGCCATAATTTTTTTGCAATTTTCGTTATTTTAGTTCTATTACGAGTTCGGAGACTTCCGTAAATTTGTACCTAAGATTATGGCCTAAACCTAACTTACGTTCAGGTGTCCGCCATCTTGGTACTCATACCTCAGTGGTGCCAAATATTGACTATCTTTTCAAATAATGTTTTAGAAAATTCCAGAACATTAGTCCTGCATTCATGACATGTGAAATTGGTTTCTAGTGTTTGAGTTTCAACAAAGCACCATATGCCTTGTAAAATCACATTTAAAGATCATTTACCCAAATTTAAACGAATGGTTTTTAAATATTTCAGTTTACTCTCAGTTGAACTAGTCTCTCATTAATTACGTCAATTTCAGTTCTGAAGTTGAGCTAGGTATTATTGAATACGATGTGGTCTAGGGATCGATTTGCAAAATTCTTGATGTTTGTTAGGATGATTGCTGTTGTTTAGATAAATCGCTTTCCTCGTAATTAATGAACCCACCCTACCAATCGTCGCCAAAATGCTGATTGCTATAGTTTTTTTTATTTATTTCATCAAAAAATACTGGTACCGATGCGCGACATGCATGTTCAAATACTTGAGCATTGCTCGTTAAATGATATTATTTAAATGTGATTGAAGTACAACCGAACAAGGAGAAATAATTTTCTCCATTGAACTTTTGTCAGTCGACTTTTTCTGCATTATCAATAATGGGTAACAGCCCGTAAATATAATATTCAGTGGCTCATCTACGTACAATTGCTACCATGGCAAAGTTTAGAAAACGCGCCCCCTTGGTTGTTGTTGTTAACGATTATTGTTGAATTGAGGTACTCACAGTAAGAGTATTCAAGTGAAAGTACTAATTTCAATTATTTCTCAATTGGAATTATTTTATAGTAACAGTTTACAATTAAAACATTTCGCCTATTCTGCGCCTCTATATCCAAACGGCGCCCATAGCACGAGCCATGGCTGCCATACCCCAGATACGCCACTGATATTATCATCGTATGAGAGTCACAACACAGATTACAGAAACACAGATCATCCGAAAACATGACACTTTGAAATATCGAGAGATTTGAGACATATCACAAGCGGTTGTATATATGCAGGAAAGAACGACTGCGTTAAGTTGAGACCACTAAAACGCGGATACCAATCACGTATTGTGTACCGAAAGCTTTTTTTTAGAAGTTTATTCAAATAATAAAGCGGAATTTTGGGGTTGAAAAATTCTGTAAATAGACGATTGGTATTATTTTGGTACATCGCAGCTTTTTCGTGATTGCGCTCTTGCCGTGAAGACGAGATCGATAAAACGCGTCATTTCCTTCTGCTAGAGGAAATACGTAATGTTTGAAATAGATCAGCAATTTCACAACAATATTATTGCCAAATAATGTGAAGGTTGAATTGCGTTTTCTAATACCCGAACGTTAAAGCAGTGGATATGTACTGATGATTTACTTCTCCTGCGTTTTTGAAGTATTTATGGGTGTTCCGTGTCTCACTATTAAACAAGCCTCTAGTTTAGTATAGCGAAAAAGACAGTCTCCGACTAGATAACCCGCTGAACTAACATGATTAGTACAACTACGAGGGGAGTTGTTACCTATGCTCCATTCATTGAATTATCAAATAACCGCTTGGTGTGGTAAATGTGACACTGAAATCAACAAAATTAAATATTTCAGAAAATTTATTTATTCGTTTACAGTGTGACTAAGATAAATATACACAAGATAAATACGATTCAATATTAGTTTTGTCTCAAGGAACTTCAAGATTACAAAATTAGGACATAAATGATCTGAATGAATTGAACCCCACTCAGGCCGTTCCATGGCTTCATATTTATATATAGATATAAGTATTAATCGCAAAGTCAATATGTGGGATTGCCAGAATACTTACAAGCGAGACACATAGAAATTTTTATTACTGTGTTGAGGAATAGGTTAGAATTGCAATCAACGATATAATTTACTTGAAATATATTTGAAATCAGCCGCATTTCTAATTTATCCTATTTTTGAAAGCAATTTTAGACATCAAAATGAAATCTATCTTTTTCGATAAAGCTCCATATAGATTACAATAGCAATTTTGCGTGTATTACTGAAAATCCTATCTTTACTAATTCATTATATTCGTACCACACAGTTTAGAAAACACATTTCTTTGTACTTTTGATCTGTTCCACTCGGTTCGATCTGATTAATATATATCTATTTCATATACATAGCAGAACTTATAAGATTCAAACTCATTATATTAAAACAAAAGTTTAAGTCACCACTAACAGAATAAAAAAAAAACTGGTATGTATGTAAAATCACATAAGGCAATACATTTCACAAAAAATACAGAAATAGCATTGTATTATACAGCGGAACATTGTTTTCAACCAATGCCAGTTCGCACGAGTTCGATATATTTTTCATAGATTAATAAAACAGAGGGCCAAGCCCGAAATTGGGATAAAAGGGGATAATAAGACACAATAAAATTTGTAGCTCAGGATTTATACCATAAAATTATCAAAATTTCAATATTCGCAATTGTAATTTGTTTCAACCCTATAAAATCTATTTTTCGGTCTATTCAGGAGTAAAAAGCTTATATTTAAGTAAAATATGCTCCATTATATTGAAAAATTGTACACACAATAACTTGGTCACAAGATCGACGATTTTTAATTTGAACTTCGTTCAGTTTGTCGAAAATTGTAAAAAAAAAAAAAATTTTGAACTCATACTAGAATTGCATCACATTTTCAACACTACAACTTAACCAAAAATGAAATTTAAAATATTTCATCATAATTTTTCAAATCGCTATTCAAGTTCTGGCGTTTGGATGGAAGGAAAGATGACCCTGTGTTGTTGAAATTTGACGAAGAAGATTTTCCATTGAAGTTGGATTGCTGAAACACAGCGACAAACTGCTCGTTGAATTAGTATTTTGCATGAATTTCAATGCATATGGTATTAGTTCGATTTTCAATCCTTTCATCGAATGCATTGCTTGTTTGTTTTTTGGTTTGATTCCCACTGCTAAAAGTATTTCAGGTTGTGGGCAAAAACTCTCATTTAAAGCACTGTGAAGAAAATCTATAAAATATTTTTCAAGAGAAAATAACGTGACGACATCTTCTCTTTCCATTTTCATCGGTATAGCTAAAGGATTGTGTTCGTGCGGATTACTACAAAAGACTTGACTTTGGCATAGTCGCTTAGCCGTGAAAGTGAGGTTTTGAGGATCGTATCTCAAGACGATGCCCAACTCCGTTTTATCCAAAATGGCGGACATCGTATGACTTTGTTGTTTAATCGGCGGTAAGCTAATTCCTCTCAGTTTAAAATCGGCCATTTTTTCGTCTGTGCAATTTCTGATCTGTAAGAGACGTATTTGATCGCTCTGATTTCCATAAAAAATTCGATAACCTTTGTCCATATTTGATAAATGTTCGTCATACATCTTCACGCCATTGTAAGAGATAATCACCTGACATTCTTTTATTTTGTCTGATCTTATTCCGCATTCGACATATTGCTGCAAAATCAAAGCTGCTTGGGAAGCATAGTCGGATTCGGCATCTGCCGGATCAGCCTTGGTGCTTACTGATGGTGCTGGGTCTGTTTCTTCCATCGTAACATCATTGGTCCAATGTTGAGTTTGCGCAGAATGATCTGCCGGTGAAATAGCGAGCATCAAATTAAGATCTTCCATTTCGACGGGAGGCTGCACTGCCAACTGTGTGTAGGACATGTCCCCGTTTGGCAACATATGGTCAATCATCATATCACCAGTATACAAGCCATTCGGCATACTCATTGAAATATCAGGACTTCCCAAAGAACCACTTTTTGATGAATGCCCATCGATGCTTCCCGCGAAATCCAAGTCTTTGGTGTCGAGCGTTTTAAAGTCATCCGAATCAAAATTATGATCGAATAAAGGTTCTTGCTTTGTCTGAATTCTGCTTCTCTTCTTCTTTTTCTCGCGAACCTCTCTGGGAGACAAGATCCGATAAACCTTGTAGTTGCCGGTCTGCTTTTGCAATTGTGATTTACTGCTAATTTCCTCAAAATCTACAGATTTGTTTAGAGCGCAACGGAAGTTTGATTTCAATTTTGAATCGTCCAGCTTTTCGACCTCACCGCGTCCCCGATGTTCTGCCCATGCCCTGAATATTCTGTAATAATCTTGCCAATTTGGCAAGTTTTTTTTAACCCACGGAAGACGAAATTGCTTCGAATCGTCGCTGCATGGCTCCCATTCTAAACCCAGGTATTTCCCGCTATTTATCTGCTTTTCGAGCCATGGTCGAAGTGGCAGTTTAAAATCTTCATCTGCTTCTTCTAAAAACGCCATTTTGTTCAAAATATACGATAAGATACGAATTCGCAAGCGACGACACGAGAAGCGCTTTTACAAAATACCAGAATGATCAAACCTGAAAGCAGACTCATATTATAAGCTCAGGCCACCAGAACGTGAAACCATCGTATCACTTTAGGGGAATCACCAACGTTATGACTAGGTTTTCATTCTCTCAGTCAATGACGCAACGCTACGCATGGACTAAATTCTCTCGTATGTCCTGAGCGTTCGATGAGAAACGAAGCGAGAAAATGGTATCGACTTTGCACGCCGTCACTGACGATCTCTTGAAGGTTGGCAATTTATTCGTGTTGTGATCAGCAGGACAATGTGTCTTCATTTCGAAAATTGCGTCTTCATTGAGGGGATTCCCGATTACCTAATTTATATACACCACGGAAAAATATATTGTTGAAGGTTAAATTTAGACCAAAATCAGATAACCACCTTGGATTGTTTGCAGGCATATTAGCATTGGAAAATTACAAGTACTATACGCCAATTTGCTAAGAATTAGCCTTCGCTTTTGCGAAAGTTTGTGACTTACCACAACTGGGCATTAACTTGGACTATTTCCCCAAGCTATACACACGGTTGTAACGCGTCTCTAAATATAATGTAAACACCGCGAATTTCTGCCGAATGGCGTCAATAAAACAACCCGCCCTCACCTTGCCCCTTCTTATTTATGCCCAATGTAATTTGTATGCCAAATACATTCATTATATTTTTCTTTAGTATTTCACTCGTGATATTCAGAACTAGATATTCAAGGACGAAAAATATTTCATGTTCGAGCCAAGGGTAGAAGCTAAAGAATAATTGGAGTACCACAATACTCACAAACCTTACATTGAAAATCAAATAATTTTAGAATTGAAAACAGTATCAGCAAATTTAAACATGTGTGCAGAGACAATATAATTGTTTGGATAATTTCAACTCGCAACCTAACAAACAAACAACGTTTGCCTCAATTTTGATTTTCAACGGGTTTGGCGACTTCATAGCTATGTCCAGGGCTGCCATAACGACCTTATTTCTAAGAAATGTCTTTATTTTGGCATGTGTACTTTTATTTGTTTTTATTTTATGGGTAGAGGTTCTAATACCAAGCACTTAGATTGGCCAATTCGAATGATTGATTTGCTAAAATGATATTTTACAACCTCATTGATTGCTACGCGCTTTCGTTACTTAATAACAGCAAGTTAATTGACACAATGACAAAACGTTAGCCTACCGGCCAAAATCAGTTCGTGTAACTTGATTCAAAATACAAAAGAAATATTTTATTCCATTAAAGCGGCAGTTTAAATCGATCTTATGATAATCGATAACGTGACATGACGTGCAAAGCTTTTGTTTGTCATTGTAAGCCACTTGTGATTTTGCAAGCATGCGGGTTATGACTTACAATACAGTCAATCGCCTATTTTATCACTGTTTGGGGAAGTAGATGCGTTTCACCTAGTCCTAAGTAAAGCTAGCGGACACTTCCAGCAGACAGTTACCAATTTTTCCAAATTTGAACCCGCCATGTTCTACGACAGTTGTCGCGAATTCACCTAATTGCGGCTACATAGATGCAAAAAATTAGGCGATTCTCCCTTTTAGAAACTGACAACAGACCTGAAACATAATAAAAAACAATAATGATTGAAACAACACATTTTTTCCTCGGTAAAATGAATTATTGCTCAGAAGCTCATTTATCGACAAAATCTAAAATTAGTTGAAACGTAATTTATGCGAGAAATAATTTTTTCTCATCCAATTCATTAATACAGTGTATTTGATGAAGATATATAAAACATATATTAAATTTTAAAAAAATTCCACTATGCGGAAAGTTGGGAAATACCCCCCAATTTAAGAAAATTTTTTAAGAAATCGTCAATATAACTTAGTTAAAGCGTAATTTATGCAGGAAATAATATTTTCTCATCCAATTCATTGATACAATGTATTTGGTGGACAAATATAAAAAACATATTAAAATTTTTAAAAAACCACCGTTCGGAAAGTAGGGAAAATTCCCCCCAATTTCATGAAAATATTTAGGAAATCTTCTATCTAATTCAGTTAAAGCATAATTTATGCAAGAAAGAATATTTTCTCAACTAATTTATTTATACAGTGTATTTGGTGGACGAATATAAAATACATATTAAAATTTCAAAAAAATCCACCGTGCGGAAAGTAAGGAAATTCCCCCCAATTTGATGAATAATTTAGGAAATCGTCTATTTAACTCAGTTAAAGCGTAATTTATCTAAGAAAGAATATTTTCTCATCTAATTCATTAATACAGTGTATTTGGTGGACAAATATAAAATACATATTAAAATTTTTGAAAAATCCACCGTGCGGAAAGTAGGGAAATTCTCCCCAATTTGATGAAAATATTTGAGAAATCGTCAATATAACTCAGTTAAAGCGTAAATTTTGCAGGAAATAATATTTTCTCAACCAATTCATTAATACAGTGTATTTGCTGGACAAATATAAAATACATATTAAAATTTAAAAAGAATCCACCGTGCGGAAAGTAGAAAAATTCCCCCCAATTTGAAAAAAAAATATAGAAAATCTCCAATTTAACTTAGTTAAAGCGTAATTTAGGTGAGAGGGAACATCTTCTCATTCAATTCATTAATACAGTGTATTTTTTGGATAAATGTAAGATAGATATCAAAATTTAAAAAAAATCTACCGTGCAGAAAGTAGGGAAATTCCCCTCAATTTATTGAAAATATTTAGGAAATTGTCAATCCAACTCAGTTAAAGCATAATTTATGCAAGAAAGAATATTTTCTCATCCAATTCATTAACAAAATGTATTTGGTGGACAAATAAAAAATACATAATAAAATTTAAAAAAAAATCCACCGTGCGGAAAGTAGGGAAATTCCCCCCAATTTAATGGAAATTTTTAAGAAATCGTCTATCCAACTCAGTTAAAGCATAATTTATGCAAGAAAGAATATTTTCTCATCCAATTTATCAATACAGTGTATTTGGTGGACAAATAAAAAATACATATTAAAATTTAAAAAAAAATCCACCGTGCGGAAAGTAGGGAAATTCCCCCCAATTTAATGGAAATTTTTAAGAAATCGTCTATCCAACTCAGTTAAAGCATAATTTATGCAAGAAAGAATATTTTCTCATCCAATTCATTAACAAAATGTATTTGGTGGACAAATATAAAATTCATATTAAAATTTAAAAAAATCCACCGTGCGGAAAGTAGGAAAATTTCCCCCAATTTAAGAAAAAAATATAAGAATTCTTCAATTTAACTCAGTTAAATTTATGAAGAAAGAATATTTTCTAATCCAATTCATTAATACAGTGTGTTTGGTGGACAAATATAAAAAAAATATTGAAATTTAAAAAAAAATCCATCGTGCGGAAAGTTGGGAAATTCGGTACTCTCGAAATATGAGCACAAAAAGGACGCACAACCTGAAAATAGTAGGTGTACCAGGATAGGTTTAGCTTTAGAATCTAGATTGTACGCTTTCGGGAGCGCAGGAAATAACCCATTTATGCAAAAAATATTTTTTTCTCATTCAATTTAATAATACTGTGTATTTGATGGAGATATATTAAATACATATTGAAATTTAAAAAAAATCCACCGTGCGGAAAGTAGGGAATTTCCCCCGAATTTAAGAAAAAAATATAGGAAATCGTCAATTTAACACAGTTGAAGCATAATTTATGCAGGAAAGAACATTTTCTCATCCAATTCAATAATACAGTGTATTTGGTGGACATGTATAAAACACATATTAAAATTTAAAAAAATTTCTTTCGCACCTAATAATATAATAAAATCACGCAAGGTCTTTGTATTTAATTACGTTATGACCCGTGGTGTGATTCAAATTTTTTCAGCCGGTTCCATCACAAAAGTCATATTTTTTGGCCGGTTCTGTTGCAAACAGAACATTGACAGTAATCAGTAATTCTAACCGGTTCGATCATCTCATAAAATTTCGTGAGATGGTTCTATAGAACCGGTGCGAACCGGCTTAATCCCACCACTGGTTATGACGCAATTTTTTCGCAAACTATTTTTCTATGCTTTGTTTTTCAGGTCGTGGTTTTGAATACCAGTGTGAATTCTATATGATGTATTCACGAGTCAATATTAACATCGAAATACGGAATGTAGAGGTCTCATTCAAGTCGTAGGATGTGATAAATGATGTGTCTTCGTCCCGGTGGTTCCTGATTCATTGTTTAAACTTCTTGTACTGACACGAAGATCTTATGATCTTTTTAATTTAATACGTAAAATATTTATGATTTCTTTTTCAATATTCGACGAGCATTAATAGCAATGGAATTGTGTTTGATAATTCATATAATTTTGTCATCGCGGTACATTTGATTTGCATTGCCTATCCTGGTACACCTACTATATTCAGGATGTGCGTCATCTTTGTGCTCATATTTCGAGAGTACCGAATTTCCCTACTTTCCGCACGGTGGATTTTTTTTAAATTTTGATACGTATTTTATATTTCTCCACCAAACACACGGTTTTAATGTATTGGATGAGAAAAATTTCCTTCTTACCTAAATTACGCTTTAATTGAGTTAAATTGACGATTTCTTATATTTTTTTCTTGAATTGGGGGGAATTTCCCTACTTTCCGCAAAGGTGGATTTTTTTTAAATTTCAATATGTTATTTATGTTTGTCCACCAAACACACTGTATTGATGAATTGGATGAGAAAATATTCCTTCTTACCTAAATTACGCTTTAACTGAATTGGATAGAAGATTTCCTAAATATTTTCATTAAATTGGGGGGAATTTCCCTACTTTCCGCACGGTGGATTTTTTTAAAATTTCAATATGTATTTTATATTTGTTCATCAAATACACTGTATTAATGAATTGGATGAGAAAATATTTTTTCTTGCATAAATTATGCTTTAACTGAGTTGGATAGACGATTTCTTAAATATTTTCATTAAATTGAGGGGAATTTTCTTACTTTCCGCACGGTAGATTTTTTTTTTTTGATACCTATTTTATATTTGTCCGAAAAATACACTGTATTATTGAATTGGATGAGAAGATGTTCCTTCTCACCTAAATTACGCTTTAACTGAGTTAAATTGGAGATTTCCTATATTTTTTTCCATAAATTGGAGAGAATTTTTCTACTTTCCGCACGGTG